TAAGATATGTGCAGTGTGCATAGGAATTTGTTCATAGTTTTTTTTTTAAACTATAGTCCGGCCCTCCAACAGTCTGAGGGACAGTGAACTGGCCCCCTGTTTAAAAAGTTTGAGGACCCCTGGCCCAGCACCTCATGATGGAAACAGGCAGGACTCTGCTCTGTAGAGCGGAGTTTCCCTCCCGGCAGGAGGGGGGAGGCAGAGGCCTGCTGGTCCATCATCCAGAGCTTGGTCCCAGGGTCCCGTCTTAGCCTGATAGCCTTTCCTCTGCGCTGCCAGGTGACTCGCATTGCATATTACCTGTTAGCATCCTCAAGGTAGTTCAAAACCAGCAGCTTTTTAAATGTTGAGTAAGGAGAGGGAACATTTTTCTGACCTACTGTTTTGCTCGAGATTTGGACTTACAGTTCTTTTGCTGTGGTTCTCAAAAAGGCACATGCAGAGCCTTCTGAAAGCAGGCTGCGTGCATCGCTCCCTGGGCCGGCGTGGGCACCGGTGGCACGGACGCTGCTGCCCAGGGTGCAGGGACCGCGCCTTAGTGACCTCTGTTCCGGGGAGCTGGACACTTGAGACCCACGTTCTGTGACTGTAACAGAGGCCAGGGGCTTATGCAGACGTTGGCAAGAGTTTTATTTAGATAACTTTTCTCTTTGGGGCTAAGGTCTCATGATAATGAAAGAAAACTTTAAGCTCCATAAATGAATAGAAGAAATAGATCGGATTTTGTGGGAGGGAATCTAATGAAAACAGCTTCCTGTGCCCTCACTTAGACTGCAATGTTTTCCTCTCTTCCTTGGCCCCGTGTCCTCATTTTAGGGTAAAATTGTCGCCCAGGGCAAGCTGCTCCTGCAGGACACGTTCTTGGTCACAGACCAGGACGCAGGGCTCCTGCCTCGCTGCCGAGAGCGGCGGGTGTTCCTCTTCGAGCAGATCGTCATCTTCAGCGAGCCGCTGGACAAGAAGAAGGGCTTCTCCACGCCGGGCTTCCTGTTCAAGAACAGCATCAAGGTGCAGTGCCGCGCGCTTCCTCGTGGGCCCGCCCCTGCCCATCGCTCGACAGGCTGGCTCCTCCCGTGGCGGGTTCTGTACTGCACCTGCTCTAGGAGCGTTACAGCTTCCGTGAACTCAGAGGCAGGCTTGGGATTTGGCTCTTTGACCAGAGCAGAGAGCTGACCCTGTCCCGCTCTTTCGTGCACTCGGCAAGCGCTCTGTGCTCCATGCTCAGCTGGCCTGCAGGGCAGCCTGTGCCCTGGGGCGGCTTGCTCCCTGATAGTAGAGAAAGACAAAAGAACTGCTAATGGCCCTGAGTCCTATACAGGGGACAAACCAGGGAACCAAGGCTGAGATAGAGAAAAGCAGAGGGGGAGGCCTGGGGTCCCAGCAGATGGGAAATACAGCCAGACACCACCCCCAGTTCTTTCTGCCTCTGCAGCTGTGGGGGTCCTGAGGTCAGAAGACAGATATTCTTCCTTATGTTAGGGGCTGCTGCCCCAAACGGACAGGGTCCCTCTTAGGGACAGGGAATCTTTAGACCCTCAGAAGCCTCAGCACACAACTGGGACACCACACCCTCTTCCTCCAGCTCCCCAGGGAGGTGCCTGCCGGCCTCCAGCCCCTCTGTGTCCTTCCCTTCGGGCTGGAGAAGGTCTTCTTCCCACGCAACAGGGAGGGGTGAAGCTGGGCTGCAGGCCCTCTCCTGTCTCACACCCCTTCCCGGCCCTCCCGCCGGCCTGAGGCCCCTCCATGGCCATCACTGTCCACCCGCCCACCACCTGCACCTCTCACCCTTTCTTTCCATAAGTCTCTTGGCAGAAAATCACTCTGTCACCATAGAAATTCTCTTTATATGCTAATTTACATATTCTGCTTCAGGAAAATTGTTTTACATATTTACCTGCCATGTCACACATAACTTTATAGCACATGTTATATATTGATCAAGATTTTTCAATGGTGTCATTTTCTTCCTGGGGAAGTGATAAACACTGGGTCATTGTATAGGCGTTTTGAAAACAGATAATCCCAGGCCTACATTTCTGGTTCATTGTTCAAACTACTAGTTGAACTCCTGGTACGGCACCAAAGTGTGGTTGTTTCCATTTTACTTTGCACCAGGCCAGTAAGAATAAATGTGCTTTTTTTTTTTCATTGTAAACACACAGAACAAAAACGTACCCTCTCAGCCATGTTGAAGTGTATAGCTCAGTGGCATCCAGCACATTCCCATGTTGTGCAGCCATCACCACTCATTAAACACTGACTCCCGTTCCATCTCCCCCAGACCCAGGCAGCTTCTCCTACTGCCTGTCTCCGGATTTCATAGCTCCAGGGACCTGGTCTAACAGAATCATAGCGGTGTTCGTCTCTGTCTGGCTTCTTTCACTGAGCACAGTGTCCTCCGGGTTCATCCGCGTGGTGGCGTGCGTCAGCAGGGCCTTCAGCACGGCCTTGCTTTTTAAGGCTGGCGAATGCTCCATTGTGTGGATGGGCCACACCGTGTTCATCAGCATTCATCTGTGATGGGCACCTGGGTTGCTTCCACCTTTTGGCCGTTGGGGATAACGCTTTAACACTTTCCAGGTGAGTTGCCTTTGCCTGGAGGAAAGTGTGGAAAACGACCCCTGTAAATTTGCTCTGACGTCGAGGACGGGTGACGTGGTGGAGACCTTCGTTTTGCATTCATCCAGTCCAAGTGTCCGGCAGACGTGGATCCATGAAATCAACCAAATTTTAGAAAACCAGCGCAATTTTTTAAATGGTAATGTGTGCTCTATTTCTGGCATGTTTTCTTTCTCTAATGTGCACTCTCCTGTTTCTCTCCTCTCTCCTGCCACATACGAATGGTAATGACAAGACTAGTGTGGCCCTCGCTGTGGGTCAGACACTGTCCTCAGCACCGTCCATATATTGCTGCATTCCTTCTTCATAGCCACTCTGTGTGCCAAGTACTCCTATTCCCATTTTACCGATGAGGAAACTGAGGCAGGGAGTGGAACAGTAATTTACCCAAAGTCCCCCAAATTGTTGGTGGTAGAATCAGGATTCTGAGCAGACTGGCTCTCAGGCATGTGCCCTTCACTGCTGTTCTGTTCCCTCCGGTCCCACCTGGTCTCCACCGTATGTGTACCAGAGCCCTGTCCTGGGACGGGAATGTGTGAGGGGAACCGAGGCAGCACGTGGAATTGGGGACTTTCTCCAGGGCAACTTTAACAGTTGTGTTCAATTGCATTGCACCTCTCTCCTCCATTAAAAAACCAGACATGTTTTGCCCTTCCAGTTTCCATGACATGAGTGAGTGATTACAGGGGAGCAACTGCCCTTCCTTTGGAGGTGAGCACTGACCATGTCCGTGACCTGAAACGGCTTGTTTCTCTTGGTCTCTGCTTTTAATTCGGGGATCACGGAAGACCTTCAGGGATTCAGTCAAAGCTGAATACTTAATGTCTTTTCTTTGTCTTTTCCTGTTCATGGTCAGTGTCTGTGCCCCAGTCCGATAAGACGCTGTAATTTCTTTGTTGCCACCACACCCCTCTTCACACCTTGCATGACCTTGAAGAGCCAGGACACAGGCACTCAGGGAGAAGCCAAGGGCGTGAGGTGCTTTGGGCCACGTGGTAATGAGCCGCCTGGGCGTTAACTCCAAGCTCCCGTCCAGATTGTGGCCAGGCACCTTCTACGTTGCAGTTAGAACCGGATGTGTAGGGTCAGGGTCGACGGCTCCTTGTGCGTGCAGAAAAGCGTTTCACCCCGACCTGAGCAATTGCATGGCCGGCAGAGTTTGTGAAATGTCATGTGGCTCCAGAGTGCTTCTCACACATGCCTGTGCCCCCCAGGCCGGAGGGGCCTATCTGTGGTGGTTGTACTTCTCAAAGGTTTTACACTTGAAGAATGTGTGTTAGTGTCTCCTGAGTTTCCTGCAGATGATTAGGAACAAACGAAATCCTGTAGCTGGGAGAGGAGACAGCTTCCTGGCCCACAAGGGAGTGCACGGAGCTCGTTTCCATCCCTTGTCTCTCGTGTCTGATCTGCAGCACAGAGGTGTCCATTCCCGCCTCCTCCTGGTGACCGAGGGACTCCCCTCCCCGCAGGTCCCGGGCGGCAGCTGGCCTAACCCCCTCCCCCGCGGGAGCAGCTGGTGCTGGGGAGCCCCAGGCCGCGCGGCTCCCCTGGCAGCACGAGGCTCCTGCTGACACTGGCATTTCGCCCGGGATCCTCTGGCCAAGGACTCCTTTCCTCTTGGCAGGGAGGCCCAGGCTCTGCTTGCTGCTCCCGGGCAGTCTGTCCCCCGCACCCGGGTCCTCATTCACTCTGCCCTCCTGCTCCTGGGCTCCTGCCCCAGCCACTCAGCAGGCCCGCCCCTCCATCAAGTCCATTGACCTTGTTCATGGACAACACTGAGACCTTTTCCTGTACGGGGTCTGGGGATGGGGGGTGTCCTCTGCTGCCTCCAGGATGGCCAGTGCTTGGAGGGCAGGACGGCCATGACAATGACCTGCGGCTGGGGGTCAGCCCAGCACTCCCTCTGGATCATGCCGTGTTTCTCCTCCTTTGCCCCATGATGGAACTTCTCTCAGTGCCCTCCCTGATGCCTTTCTACTGTCTTGCATGTTTTACAGCCTTGACATCACCCATCGAGTATCAGAGGAACCACAGCGGGGGCAGCG